TTCCTTTGTTTGAAAAGCGCTTGGATCGCCGGGTTATAGGCTTTCGAACTCAAAATCATTCCTTTCATCTGTAAGCTTCTGAGAAGCTTGCAAACAATTTGGATCCTCCCAGCCCTGCACAACCCATTGATGAGAGTCCCGTAGGTTATCATGTCTGGTTCGCAGCCATTAGACGTCATCGTCTGAACTATATCTGCCGCCTTCTTAATATTTCCTTCCTTGCAGTAATATGTGAGCAAAGAATTATAGGTGAGCTTATCAGGCTTCAGCCCTTCCATGATCATCTGATCTATCAGCTCCGTAGCTTCATCCACCCTTTTGTTCTTGCACAAACCATCGATAATCGAGTTATAAGTGACCAAATTTCGGGTGATCCCCAATAGTTCCATTTGATCAAATATCTCCTCGGCTTCTTCCAGTCTCGAGTTCTTGCATAACCCGTCGATTAGAGTATTATAAGTCACCACGCTTCGAGCGCAGCCATTCGATTCCATTTCCTTCAATAAGCCCAAAGCTTTGCCAAGTTCACCTTTGAAACACAGATGATCAATCAGTATGTTGTAAGTGAATTCATCGGGTGGGCATCCAATCTTCTTCATCTCGTTGAAGAGCTCAAATGCTATCATGTAATCTCCGGTCCTGCAGAAGCCGCTTATAAGTGAATTGAAGGTGTACAAATCTGGTAGAAGGCCTTTCAGAGTCAAGAGGCGAGCGAGTTCCATTGCTTCTTCAAACCGGCTTGCGGAACACAGAGAACTGATAAGAGTGTTGTAGGTGATCATATTTGGCAAGCAGTCACTTTTCACCATCTGATCAAGACCTTTCATGGCTTCTTCAATGTCTCCAGCTTTACACAACCCGGCTATCATTGTGTTGTAAGTCACAATATCTGGATCATAACCCTCCTGAAGCATCACATCGAAGATCTCAAGGGCATGGCTAACATGTCCGGCTCGACACAAACCATTAATCAGAGTATTGAAAGTGATCTTATCAGGGCTGAATCCATTATTAGCCTCTTCTTGTATGAAACTGAGAGCTTTTTCAACCCTACCCTGCTTACAAAACCCATTAATCAACACATTAATTGTCACGTTAGTAGAAATGCATTTCATCCCCAGCATTCTGTCTCGAACTGTCAATGCATTTTCCATATTTCCTTCCTCAATAAAACCTCGCATGATTGTAGTAAATGTTATCTCATCGGGCGACAATCCATGGCCGCACATCTCCTCTATCATCGAGATTGCTGGTCTAAGCTGATGAGTTTTGCACAAAGCCTTAATCAAGATATTAAAAGTAGAGACATCAGGTTGGACTTTTCTATCAGTCATGGAGGAGTACACAGATTCAACCAACTTGATCTTGTTCTCCTCCACAAGAATATTGAGAAGAAAGTTGAAAGTCCAGGTATCGGGTTCAACCCCAAATTCTTCCATCGTTCTCAGAACAACGTCTACAGCCTCGTTAAAAAGTTGGAATTTCGCAAAACATTCAACGAGGATACGGAACATACCATGCTCAATTTGGCATCCAGAAAGCTGCATCTCCTTCAACACAGTCTTCATCTGATCGAAAGATCCCGAATTTCCGAGCTGCTGAAGAATCTCTTCGTAGACAGAAGCATCGGGTTCGAAGCCAGGCCGCTTTGACACCAAATTAAAAAGCTTGAGAGCAGAATCCGCATCTTTCTGGCGACGGAGGGTTAAAACAAGATCATTTGGAGGGATTTGCTGAACTCTTCTGGTATTGGAAATTTGGGTGGCGAGCTCTAGTTGATCCTGAAGAGATGCTAATGGAAAACTTGGAACCTGCTTTTGGTGGAAAGATTGAGGATTTGTGACGGAAATTGGGATTGGAAGTCGGTGATGGTAGCTTATTAACGAGAGCAAGGCCATTGAGGTATAAGCTCAAACACTTGGACTGCAAAAGGTTAAGGTCGCCGATTGAAGAACGGAGAGACTGGACGAAGCGGTGAGATGGTGAAATGTAAGTACCATATGGATTTAAAGCTTTGTTAACCATACAGTGAAGGATGAAGTAGCAGGGTTTAGGCGAGGAAGAGAAAAGGCTCAAAATGAAAGAGAAAAGTTTTAAGACGACATGGAAGAATGGAGATGATACAATAAAATTTGAGTCAGAATGAGACGTCAAAGAAAAAATGGCGTTTAATGGCGAAGCGGAGAAGAGGAAGAAAGAAAACAGTCGAAGTGACCTATCTGGATTCTCGATGGAAAGATAGACCACATGCGGACTCTTCGTTGAGGAGAAATTATACGGAAATTTTGATTTTAATCCAATGGAGGTCATTTGTTAAATTTGCACTCGCATTACAGATAAAACTCGCACTTCCTTTCTATTTTTTTTTTAATTTATAATTTAGTTTATAGTAAGCATATTTAATATGTTAAAAATAAATTAACTTATTTTTAAGAATATTCAT